TAAAAAATCAAAATTATCAGCCATAAACTACGGGTTCATATACTCTGCCCAAAATTTTATACGTGAAGATAAGCTTATGTCCATATTATTCAATCTAAAGAAATCCAAGTAATTAAAAGGAGTAAACCTGATACTCATCTCTAGGATTAGAGGGGGCCAACACAACCTCCCCATTCCTAATAGTGAGAGAGTAACGCGGAGCCGCCTTTGTATAAACCCTCACTGTATGTTCCTGAGGAGTAACAGCAGCTGAAACATTCCTCACTGTACATTGCTGAGGAGCAACGCCAGCAGCATTTCGGCGGTGGAAACGGTTGCCGCTAAACCAATTCATGGTCTCAGTTTGAGTTTGATCACAACACAACAAAAATCAAGCTTGCAACATCAATTTGATGCTTCAAACTTCACACTGAGGGGGGGTTATAGCCTATATTTATATATAGCTAGAGGAATGGGTGCTCATGGAATAAGCATTTCTTAATGGAGTATCAAGCAGACCCCATCGGTTTGATTCTTTTACACTGAGGGTACTACATGCAAAACAAACCAATTTCACTTTATATGCGGGTAAAAAAGATTCAAAAATTCACTTAGGCTTTATTTGCAAAAACCAAACTACACCCCAAAATGCATTACTATGGGGGTCTATGTGCAATTAATCCTAATTATAATTAAAGTAAATTAACAAAACCCTAAACTTAATGGGCGTTTAGCACAGAACCTCTTACAGTAATAACTTTAAAAAAAACCCTCTTAAGGTTATCTTACAAAATTATTATGACCATGGACACAATTAGTACAAATTATGAGGTGCTTCACAGATGACATGAATTTCGCATCTAGGGATAAATTTAACAAAAGTCCCTAAAATTTTGGGGATTTTCACGAATCACCCTAAGCTCGTCCTGAAACCAAACCTCATCTAAATTTGCACAAAACACCCTAATTTTTGGCATCCGACTCTCCCCTGGCGCCTTTCACCTCTTCCACCGTGCCTCCTCATCTCCATTGATATCCCCCAGCTCTCTTCTTCCTCTCCCTCTGTCCTTTCCTCATCATTTTTTCCCTCACCCCTTCATGTCAAGGTTATTTTTTCATAAATTCTAGTCAAGAGGTCACCACAAAATTTTAAAGTCTTCAGAGTCCAAGATTCTGTGAAAATACACTTACGTTCATAGGGTTTCTAATAAAACACTCAAAAGATCAGGGAGTTCTATAAGATTTACCTTATAGTAAAAAAGATAACGTTTTTTTTTTTTTTGAAGACAAATATTAAAGTAACCCCTTGGTTTAGTCGCCTGTGGTTGTCAGTCACCAACCAGAGAAGGGCACTTGGAGGAAGGTTTACCGGCTACACAGCTC